GGAACCGAGATACGACAGTCAGCTTCAGTGTATCAGGCATCTGTTGTTTCTTATAGAAGCTTGTAACTTTATCCGTGTTGCGGTGAAAGGAATGGCTCACATTTCGTGTGCACTTGGCTTCCTATTCAAATGCCTGCATACTGCAGTATTGGAGGACTACGCGGGTAGATAGTGGAAGTGGGAACCCTCCACGAACGACTACAACTGAACTGGTGGCTGTAGCAGGATCCTAGCTCCTAGAGGACATTTCTGACAAAGAGATCGGCTAGGAGAAAATAGAGATCTTCCGCAGGATTACATGGCTCAAAGATAGGGGAAGTGACTCTCCATGTAAGCTTAAACACTAATGCAAGAGTGGTAGGTGATGTCGCTTTTACTTAACTTTCCTGCTAGTTGTGGTGCTACCTCACCCTCCGATGCATTAAAGGCCTGTTAGGGGTTGTATATAGGTCCCCTTTCAGCACCGATGGCGCATCCTCAGCGGAGTTGATTTCCAGGCAAGTCCTCTGGTTGTGCTGGCGTGAAACCGGCGGTCCCCAAGAACTTACTCGAGGAGCCAGCAAGCCAGTCTGCGACTTCATCAAACGCTTGCTGAAGTTAAACAGATAGCTAATGTAATGCATTGAGGGGTATTTTTTTAGCAAGCTAAAGATGTTCCATTTTTCCTTTTACGTCGCATCCTGATGGTGTCTTATGGGTGGTACGGTGCTGGTGCTTCTCGCCACCAAACGACAGAGTTGTGTGATGGAATTTATCGGTGGTCATGTTACTAGTGTGGTTTAACCGGGTGTAATGAACTTCGTTAACGTACCTACTGCTGGTAAAAGGCCTAGTATACGTATTTTTCCCAATTCCAGGGGGATTCTTGGCGTTTTTTTGGCTCGGTTTATGGTTTCCGCGTGTGCTTTTACGAAATATGTTCCTTGAATGCACCAGCTCGTTGTTACATACCTCATAGCCGATATTTTGGGTCGCAGACTGCGTACCTTAGGCTTCCACCAGACCTCAGTAGGATGTCCGAGACCCCTCATAAAGTGCAAAGTTTTATTTCGAGGCTTTCTGTTGACAGATCTAAGTCTGCAGCGTGAAGTTTTTAGCTTAGACCACACACTTCACAGTCAACGGTCAGGTCTTCCGCTGATGCAGCCCTCTGTATGACTGACTTTGCGGGGCTTGGCGTGGCAAAAATTTAGGCTTGGTTATGGTTGAAGAGCTGTTTGATGTTTCAGTACACTCTACTTCCTTTGGGGCTTTTTGACCAACCAGCTTGTTAGCTTCGTTACGAGCCTGCTTTTCCATCACTGTTTTGTTGGGAACCACCTTTACTCCTCTAAAGTTTGTGTTGTTAGAATAGACGGGTTCAGCTTTAATGAATTCTTCTGCTCCTATGTTTTAAACCAAAAGCGCGCGGTTTGGCAGCTGCCCTGCTGGCTCACTTTTAGTCTGAAACAGCTTGCATGGGCATCATGCATATTTGTGATTTCAAGCAACACTTCTCGAACTGTATTTAACTTTGTAGCGTGAGGGACACTGTATGCTGTTGCTTTAGGACCTGGTGCAATTCTTCTGCTTACTTCGGTGGTGAAGGTTACCAAGTGACCCACCTTGTTCACTGCTTGAATATCAACCTGAATAATCGGTTTTCGACAGGACAAGACTATCAGTGGCAAGAAGTTACTAATCTAGGTTTCAGTTGCATCCAACTGGGGTGATGCTTCGGGTGTCTTTGTCAAACTTTCTTGAAGCACACCTCTCTTTCGTCTGTTGTCTTTCAGTCCGTACATGTCTTTCCTTGGTTCCTCCGAAGAGGATTTTCGAATTTCTGTTTATGTTGGGTTGCCGATGTCAGACCCGATGAATGAAGTTTAATCAGTCGTACATAAGGCGTGGCGCTTCCGTCATGTTTGATATCTGTTACAAAATCTGATGTCATGGTTCTGTCAAATATTGAAGCCTCAGAGCCATTTTACTTACCGTTAGCGACACCTTATTTAGCTGACAATAACCTGGCCACAAACTGGAATATTATCTGATCCACTCATACTGCTGTAAGATAAATCTGCTGCTGGTGTTACCGAAATTTGGTTATTTTCCACTCTGACTTACAGATAACCGTGTCTGTGAATTTTTCGTCCACTACCCACATCTATTTTGGCAAGCGTAGTATAGAAAGTTGTCCAAAAATCAGACCAGTCCACCGACGGCGTAAATAGGAAAGTAACAAAACGGTTGTGGAACAAAATTAAAATGCAAAGCAGCTTCAAAGCTACAGTGGTTGATCTGGTATACGGTAAACAGTTATCATGGGAAGGATCTCTCCCTTGTCTTGGCCAAAACAAGGCTAACCACGTGGGATGAAACAAAACCTACCGGAAGCACTGTGATCCTGGTGGTGGAGCTTTTTGTCGATTGCTCAACCCTAGGAATAAGTGAGCGAGATCGCTAAGAGGGCTACTCTAACAAAGTCCCCGTAGTTTCCACGTCAAAGAAGCAAACCACATGGCTGGGACGAGGCAGTCAACACACCCTGAAAGTCGAGAGGAAAATGTAGCAAAAATGAGGGGTCTTCAGAAGAGATTCAGATCACAGTGCATGCATCGCTCTAGGGAACTGATCGCACATCAGAATGGGGGATAAATAGTCTCTACAGACAAACCTTGAACAAAAGTTCGGAGTAAACCCCTAACACGCATATTGATTCATAGCGGAGAAAAAATTAACCGGCCAGCGAACTCGCTCTTTAAGAGGCAGGAACCGAAGAACCTCTCTGGACAGGTGACTACACTACTTTCGACACACGACTAGACACGCTGCCATGAAGCCGAAATTGCCAAATGCCTGAGCAACCTTTAGCACTACCTAACGCAAAGGAGCTGCATGAGATAGGGGAACCTCTGCCACGATTCTCGAAGAACTATCAGAGTTTTCTACAGAAAGTTATCGGGATGCAAGGACGCTTTGACGTTTGTCCCGAGACAGTTTACGAATCCACTATACAGCCAGCTCAGTAATCTCCAGCTACTCCTTAGGAAAACACATATTTCCACGGAAATGGAATTGTGTTATTCTGCCTCCCATCTGCAGAGAGGGAGATGAACAGAATCCGATATACTGTCAGCCAGTAGCGGTTTTATCTGTGTGGTCGGGAGTATTGGAAGAGCGGGTAGACGACCACGACAAAGAGCACTTGGACAAGAAAGGGGCACCAAGTGATGCCAAACACGGCTTCCGAAGAATTTTGGTCCCTCGCCTCTAACCTTATAGCAGCCAGTGATAGCTGAATGGCACACTAGAATCCGCAAGTTCCCGCCCATATTATTTTTTGGTTTCGTCAAGGCCTTTCTAAGGCACCAAGGTCGGGTTTCAACGCTCAGTTGTACTCCTGGCAACAAGACTATCTGGACAACAGAGAATTCTGCATGAACGCTAACAATATTTGATCGGCTTGGAGGGTTTACTCATCAAATGTATCAAGAGGAATGATTCCCGTCTTGCTGTCGTTCCTTCTCTTTGTGAGTGACAGTACACTGCGTCCCAGCTCCCCGGTTCTACTTTACGCAGTCCATTTTGAGCCATGGAGATCTGTGAAATCTCAGACAGAATAGATCGCACAACAAAGGGATCTCGGATTGTTTGCACACTGGGTGAACATCGACGCAGTAGGGTTTAACCTGAGTAAATGCTTAATCATGTTTCTCCTCACTCTGGGCCTGGAAGAAGCATCCTACCCTCTTCGTGGCACGTGACTTTTCCACGCCACCGCCACCACCACCACGGAGAAAGCCCTGGAACCGATACCGGTTGACAAGCTGGACACCGGCTCTAATTACTCAGAAGATACCTCCAGAGCCTACGCAGCACCTCATTTCATGGGCGGAAAACTATGTACCCTCGATCCAGAACTCTTCCTGGTGCTGTGCAAGACATACATGCTACCTCACTCGGAGGTCCACGGCGTCTTCGCACCACCATATCTGAAGAGGGAGAACAACCTCCTGGAGAAAGCTTAGAGGCCTGGAACAAAGGATATTGCAGAAATGTGGCGAAAACACCAAGGTTACAGGAGGAAAGGTCTTGGGCTTAATTATCTTAGCTAATGTAGGTTACATGGTGTCTTGATAATGGCTTACAGCATGCTAAGTGATCCAAGCCATCCAAACAGTGGGATCCTACCGAGCGGCCACTGTCCGGATCCTCGTGGCAACCCATGGAGAAAAGCTCATCAGACGGTGAAAACCCGCCTGCCTTTAAGCTTGGTCGCTCCGAGAGCTTGCGGCCGCTGGAACGCATTGCCTACCAGGAATGCTCCGTCTGTCGACAACTTAGGAATAGGTTGGACAGTTGAGCAGCATAGGTAGGTTTGTGCTCGTCCAGCTGGCATATAAACTAAGTTGACACGACCTACTGATTCCGCACAGCCAAGCAAAATTAGCACTCTACCGAATATTTCTATACTACCACTATCATCGCGAACTTGACCTTGTCAGGCGTTTCCACCAGTTACTATACCCCCACAAATAACAGTGCTGTTCAGATAGCCCGTCCTGCAGTCTTACTTCCTGCACCTCTACCCTGTGACTCAGTGATCTCGTGCTATTTATTGAGGTTGCCCCTACTATAGTTTTCTTCTATAAATCTACCCAGGTTTCTCCTTCCCTCACGTCCAGCTTCCTTTTGTCGTTTCTTCTTCTCACTTCTTCTCCCTTGATTCCTCTGGGCATTTTTAAAAACTTTTTGCGACAAATCAGAACACCTGTCTGGTGGCACGACACTTGAGGATCTCATCTGCTCAAAAGTTCTTGGATCTGTCATACAACAACAAATTCAACAACCCCCCACTATTTGTCGAGCTAACCAGAGCTAAGGCAGACGATTGGTTAGATCTACTGCTTCGGAATGCACCAAAAATCTCTGGAACCGTTCCTCAAGACCTAGAAGCAAGCGCAAACAAATTAACTGGTTTACACTAGCTTGTAAAAGAGATTGGATATTGGAAACTCATATTAGCGGTACGTACTAATGGTGTTTTACATCTATGTTTCAAGACAATAATTCTTCCCCACTCGTATGTCTGTCGAAAATTGTTCTAAGGAATATACCTTCTGGGTGGAAAATTAAACCTAAGCTGAATGAGTGTTTCAAGCTGTTCTCAAGCATTTTACCCTTTTCATCGCCCTTGGAGTTGGAATACTTTTTCCAGTTTAACCATTTCGAAAATAAAAAAGAAGTTAAAACTGTCTATGGAGCACTCATTCAATATGAGATATCTAACAAGTTGAAACAGCTCATGTTTCAAAAGGAATTATCACTTAGCAACTTGTGTTTGTTGTCAATAACAGAAAACCCACCTCCCAATTTTACCACCAACTGTTTACTTGGTCTGCCATCGAAATTATTTCGAAAATATATCATTATTGTAGGTATCTAGTTACTTTAATTTAATCTTCGAAGAACTTTTGTATATATTGGTTCCCAATGTCACATTTACTGTATCACCGTGTAGTTCCCGAGGAGACGAATTCAGGAACTCTTCAGACAGTTTTCAACTTCTTGAGTGACCCTCACGTATTCAACAAACTATATGAAACGTGCAGGTTTGTTTACTCCTCATATAGTTACTTTCCTTAGAGATGTACAGGTGTTTATTTACTCGTGGTTGCAACATGCTCACTTTTATGGTGTTAGCGGCTCAGGCACAGAAGGTAGGTTTTAATAGCCTTTTTATTCGTCACTAGATTATTCACTCCCTCGAGATTAAGTCACTTTCTTATTACTGGGTTCAATCTTACTTAGATGCACTAATCGCCTTGGCGTAAGCTAGTGGCCATTACATGTTCATTAAAATAAAGCGGACAAAGTGTGATAGAGTGGTTGGGTCAACAACCTGCCGGTGAATCTGGCGGAAGAACAAAAATTGTCCAGTCATTTTTGTTCTGTGGTCGTAAAAGCTGCAGTTTTCAGGCTGTGTTGTCGTGCTAGTTGATAACTTTCTGAAAGACTTGTATATTCGGCATCCTCGCCCCAGTTCATATACTCAGTAAGGCATACTTTTTCCAGTTACATTTAAAATACTGGATTATTGGCTCATGCGGTCATTTTACGTTTAAAGGGTCAAATAAGATTTCGTTGAAAGGAATAGTCACATAAGTTTAGTGAGACATAGGGGCATTCGGGATTACGTAAAAAGTTGCTCATAAGTACTGAAGTTCGTGTCGATAAACGCCCCAAAAAGAAGTAGAAAGGCCTTGAAACAAGAATGGCGGGGACAAAAACATCGAAATGAAGGCCCAAATATCAAAACTTTTGAAGTTAAAGTATGAATGCATCTGCACTAATGCGACCAACTGCAACTGTTTCAATTCTAGCCTTGTAAGATACTGGTTATGCTGCTCATACCTAGCGTGACCAGTCTTAGATAAATCGATGCGCAGCAGTACCAAGCCGATCAGTACTTATCTTTGCCTACTGATAAAAAAGACAAGCAGGAAAAACGTTTAGCTGCAAAGAGGCTCAGAAGAGCAGAATACTTGTTCTTTTTGAGCTGGAGATTATTTCGAGAAAGGGGTTATTGGTTATTTGGCTATAAATAGGTGATATACAGACTGGGTACGCGGCCACTAGTCAGCACAAATGATGTGCAAAGTGATAGGTGTTTAGAGGTAGATCCTTACACGTTAAGACAAGACTAAGACCATCTGATGCTCCAGCAGGTTATTTAGATAATGTTCAGATAAACCCTTCTAGTTTCTGGAGATTCGATGGCTAGTTCTGTTAGTTTTAAGGCTGTAGGTATGGCCTTAAGTGCTAAGGTAGTAAGTGAACTCGACTAAATTTAAATTGACAGTTGCCTATAAGCTGGTCGACTGAACAGTATAGTAAGCACTACAAAGAGCAGTGAAAATCGCTGTTCTCTCTGCTTACTCATCCACTGACTGCAGTGGAAGGTGAGTTATACTGAAAGCTGTCTAGCCTCTTACTGAAAACCAAACGTTCAAACGTGGTGGTTGTAGCAGGAGTTTTAATGCACAAAAGGGTAGTCTAGGTCAGGCAAAAAAGCTTTTAAATGTTTCTTTAGAATCGCACCCAAGCGAACAGATAATGACGATCACCTACTACAACTGTTTCAAGGAAACCATTTATTTCGACCAGCACGAACTTGAAACATTAAGAGGGACATTGTTCGACGTGGCATCCACCAACTTCAGCTCAGTGGTAAACACAGATAGAGCATATTGCTATCAGTTATCGCTGGAGTGGGCTGGTGAAAAACTGCCGCTTCCTCTGGAGCATGTGTTTGAACAGCTATCACGTATATATCTACACCTAAACGGACCTAGAAAAACTACAGCAACTTGATGGTTGTAAGTGCAGCTGGACTATGAAAATACTAAAGTTGCTTTCAAGGAAAAACGGGCTAGACAGTTATCGGTATCAACACAGAACGACATCACACCTGGAAGAAGCCTGGTGCTATCTCTAGTCTACTATGGAATCAGCATTGAAAGCCGTGGCAGTCTTTCGGAAAGTGGTTAGAAAGGACCAGTCGATCTTATCGGCTTCCGAAATAAGAAATGCACTTGAACGCAATCCTGCAGGTTCCGAACACAATGACAAACGGAAAATAATCATATGTAGAATGATAAGAATGTTAGGCAATAACCGTGATCAGTGGAACGTAGGCAAGGCTAAAGATATTTAAGGCTGTAGGTAACATATGACAGTTACTTAGACTGGCGAAGGAGACTGCGGTGGGGGGTGAATCTGTGTTTATCGAGACTACAGCAAAGAAGGATGTCTGGGATTCACTCGCAGAGACGACTGGAACTATAAACGGAACAGTTCGACTAACTTCCAGCTACTGTCCCGTTTCTAGGTATTCAGTTGGATCGTGAAAGGAACATCGAGATAAGACCCTCAACACTCAGAAGTCGGAGAGCTATGAGCAACCTGAAACGAGAAAGGGCAGCAGGGCCAGATAAACTAGCACCAGAGTTTTTTAATGACGGTGTCATAGAATTATTGGTCACACTAACTGAAGGGTTAGTTGTTGTAGGAGAATCAGATATGATTCCCTGTGGTTGGTTTCAGTCACCGATTATCCCAGTCTTCAACAAAAGTAAGAAGTCCCTTTATGATAATCATAGGGGAATCAGTCTGACGAACATAGTGTTTAAGATTCTAGGTTTTATAATTTTCGGACACCTGAGTGGAGCTGGCAAACAGCGAACTTAAGAAAACCAGGCAGGTTTCAGACCTAGTTGTGGGTGTCAACCAGGTCATGGAACACAGACACACCAGCTGTATTTCTTGACCTGAAGTCGGCATCCTACTGAGAGGTTTCTCACTGATAACAATTAAGTGAATATCTCTATTGAAAGCTCTGTTCTCAAACACCCGTGGGCGTGTTAAAGCCTAAGGTGATTTATGTACGTCGAGTGGTGTCCTTCATGGATGTCCATTTGCACCCAATTTTACCATGTGCGTACTTATGGAGGTCTCCCTTTCATTGTCTGACTTTGCAGAAGTCGATCTTGTTACAGGTGGACGCATGGTGCATCTATAGTTCACAGGTGACTCCTGTTAAGTGAAGACTGTGACAAAATCCAGGGTTCTGGAATGTTTGGGATACGTTCCTCACTACCCGAATACAAATTATTGCTCTTGCATTGGTCTTCAACGGTGCCCTGTGTAACAGTTGGGAGTAAGGTTGTTGACCAGTTCACTCACTTGGAAAGTCGGATCAGCGCTGGTGGGTCATTTGTCGATGAAATCTTGACCCGGATACAAAAAACCCTATTGGCCTTCGCCAACTTACGCCATCTTTCACCGTGATATCCGATTGTCAATCAAGGGTCGAGTGTGCTGCGGTTCGCTATGTTCTACCATTTGGCTGTGAAACATCGACGTTAAATGTAGAGGACATGAGAAAGGCTCAGATGTTTAACCACTGTTGTCTTCGAGTAGGGTGTGTACTGTGGCGTCACCCCGTCAGTAACGCAGACGTCAGGTGTAGAGTTTTAAGGCGGAGAGGAAAGTCTGTTGATGAGGTAAATATTCATTGATTGAAGTAACTGAGATGTATGTTACGCATGCCTTGTCACTTCCTGTCTCATCACACAATGTTAGCTAAAGTAGGTTTAGGCCGATTAAGGCAAGAGATAGCACCAGTACATGAAGTCTTTGACTGTTGGTCTGAGCTTTCGGCGACCGACACTTACTATATTTCTCAACCTGAACCGGCACTTGACTCTGTCGACCATGAACTGTTGTGAAAGTATCTGGTTGTGAAAGAAGTACCGTGCAAGTATATAACACTAATCAAAGCTCTTCACTGAATTCCATGCAGCCAGCTGTTTTAGGGTTTATTGACAGATGTCATGAGACATGATGACAACCAGTGGTGTACCACTGAATCTACAGTGATTGTTATGCCCCCTGAAGGGTCTCTATCGACAACTACTACCTTGACTTGATGGTCGGGCTTGTATATCGCAACGACCCAACGAGTTATGCTTATGGAATCCATGTTCCCTCGAGATCCTATCATACCAAAAAGGTCCGTTGGATAGTGGTTAGACAAAAAGCAGTCACCATTATGGTACAAATCGTTAAGCTTTGATGGGGGTCTGAGAACGAAGTTGTACTGCTAACTGACAGCAGCAAGGTGTTTTTCTCGAATGACCAACGATGTCACGCTGATACTGCCTTCCATTTGGAAAGAGAGGTTAGAAAAGGTCGGCACACTTTCATTTGTTTCCGGCATGCCGATGCCTGTAACAGGGATTCATAGTCGGATATAAAAGCAAAAAACCAAAATCTCAAAAGGTAAACAGATACAATGTCTCACATATCATCCGCTGACATCAAACCAACGGAGGGAACAGATAGATCACATTGCTATAAGCTGTTGTTCGAGAGGATCGTCGGACGATTTCCGCTCTTTATGGAGTACCAGTTGGACTTCGATCACGCGCAAGTACGGGATCACGTATGTCCGAGCCTTACTGGTTGTAGGAAACCTGTCTATTCTCCTTTGGAAGATGAAGATACCAAAGACGTATTTCGGGAGGAGTTAACCAAGTAGCAGCAGCAATGCTCATCCTGGGAAAACCTGGCGTAATATTAAGTCTGCTGTAGGAACAGAAGAAACGACAATTGGTAACCTACACATGAAGGTTAGCAAACACCACTGGAATTCCACGACGTCATCCGAACTGACTGATACAACAATACTGGTTCCAGTGGGCTATGATCACGTTGCAGAGCGATAAAAGCCTAAACATAAGCTGATCAAGAGTCTTTGGGTCCATCGCCAGCAGTGGTGGGTGACGAAAGTGGGAGGGATGAAGAAGGCGTCAGCATTGGGTAACACTCGGCAACTGCTTGGGGGTTAATAAGGATACAGGCAAGAGGAATACGATGGCGAGTGAAATCACCACCGGAGGGGGTGGAAGGCTGATAGCCTCGATGTAGAGCTGGCTAAAACGTTGCGCAGAGCACTTTTAAGCACAGTTCAACTGCCCCTCAGTAACGCTTAAGTTGCCCAACATCCAGCCTGAACCTGAATGGGTCTTGGATGTTGGTCCTGCGAATCTACCTGAAACGGCAAAGGTTGCTTGAGACCTGAAACAATGGAAAGTTGAGGGACCTGACATTTTTCCACTTGAAATTTCCAAGGATTTCTCATTAAACTTATGGAGACACAAGGTAGTGTTGTCATACTGGTGTACTTCGCTGATCATCCTAGTCCGTCGTAAGCGGTACAAATGTTATTGTAATAATCATACGGGGATTAGTTTGATTAATATTGTGTCCAAGATCCTACGATCCGTAGCAATCCAACACCTTACTGGAGCTAGAGAACAGAAAACTCGAGAAAACCTGGCAGGTTCCAGATCTAGATGATGGTGGTGCACCAATCATATTTTCAACCAATGACACATCATGGAACACAGGCCATACCTACCAGCGACCGACACTTGCCATATCTCCTGACCTGAAGGCGACATTTGACTCTTTCGACTGTGAGGTGTTTGGCAGTGTCTGACTGTGAAGAGAGTACAGAGCAAGCATATAACGCTAGTCAAAGCTCTCCACTAAAACTCACGCAGCCGTGTAAGTGGCTGGCTCATGGAGAGTTGTCATCTGAATTTGCGACAACTAGTGATGTTCTCTGGGAATGTTGACAGTCATGATTTATGTTTAGTTTCGTGATGCATGTACTAAAAGACATAATGTTGAATACGTGTGAGTTCACAGGGATTGACCTACTCCCTGGAGGGCATGTGGTTGACTTGGAGTATGCTGACGATATTGTGCTGCTTGGTGAAGATGATGAAGCAATGCAGGGTGTTGTGAAAGCGTTGAGCAGAAGTCTGAGAATGTTTGGCATGTGTGTTTCACTGGCACCTGTGAAATGTGAGAGGATGTTCGAGAAGTGGTCTTCAAGGACTGGTAGTTTAAGGATAAGGGATGAACTGGTGGAATGCGTCGACTACTTGACTTACTTGAGTGAGGAGTAGTGGTGTCAGTCCGAGTGGTCTGGTTTCTGATGAAACCACTAACCTGTCTTCAAATTGTTTATCCTCTCAAACAACTTTGTGTACTGTGATATGTCTTTTTCTATTCACCTGTTCTTTGTGAGCTGCTATGAAGTGTGTCAACGTGTGCGGATGCACTTGTGTTCGAGGTCGTACACTGTCTTTCTTCTCTCAGCCGTGTAGGAAGATATAAACTTCCTGGTTGGGTTTCGCGTGACGTCAGAAATAAGCTGTGTGAGACCTTGTTCAATATGGCTCACAATCGACCTAAAGAGCGCAAATTTACTAACATATTATCCACATCTTTATCATCATACTGAATTCAGTAATTTCTGATTACTCCTTGTTATCTTGTCACTACTTCCTGTCACTCTAAATGCTTTCTCCTTTTTTTCTTCATTTTTCATCTGAGTGCATTCTCTTTTGGTGTTCTAATATGAGATTTGGTAACTTGGATCGCCATACAGTGATGCCAGGTCGTATGTTGATTCTGTTTGTTTGTCTTAGTTACCTACAGTATCTACTTATTTGTTTTAAATGAGATGATGCCAAAAATGTTCACTACAGTCTGTAACCGTTGATTTTTATTATTTAGATGCCCTGTAGAGGCTGTTTGGACTTTATTGGATGGCTTAGACTACCGGTTAGTAGGTTGAACATAGACGAGTTACCGACCAAGACGTGTAAACCATTTTTCGCGATAAGTCTGTTTCATACGTTGACCTACTGCATCTGTTGTTCCCTCAAGTTAGATTAATGTGAGAAGTAGTTACTTGAACTTTTCGAAGTTGCTTCGTGTCTTGGTGTAGCTGTTTTCTTGTATGTGCCAATTAATCACCAATTATCTGCCCAGCATTCCTTATAACTAACATTATACCAGGTGTTTATTCACTTTATATGAAAATATGATAACCGTTGAATTTGTTGCTTTAGATTAAATCTCAAACGATTGCTACTGGTATCTCAGTTTGACATTAAGGTTTTTCTTTCTTGTATTGTTCAAAATTGATACTAAGGTGGTCATACATCAATGCCATAGAATCTTCTGACAAGCATATATGTAATATACTTCGTAAATGACAGGGAAAACTCACACGAGACATCTTATTACAGCACTAAAAGCGGGTATTTAAGCTGCAGCACATATGAGTAGTGAGAATTTGCAGTTTCCTAACCAAACTGCTTGTTTTGTGTTTGAAATAAAGATGCAGATATCAGAGATTGCAAGTTAAAATGCTGTAGGCGTTTAAATGCGTTTGTATTAAATAGATAACATGTTTGTAGAAGGAACTGCATAATGACTTAGAAAGATACGTATAAACCATAGCTTCCATTTATAATGAACGGCTGAATGATCTAACAGTAAAAATGGAGGGTAATATTAATCATATAGGGCAAGAACATACCATAATATATGTGATAAATGCATTCAGAAAAAGCCTTTCGAGGTTGTAGGTGTCTGAAAGATTTTCATTACTTTCGTTTCTAATGGGTTTTTCTGTAATGTAGGGCAGCCCAAGTAGACATTAAGTGTTAACTGTGGAGGTTATTCCCGAACTCTCATCTGATGTGTCTGGGTTGGTAATTATAAAAGAGGTTTATAGGTATGGTATTTTGGAATGTATCCGCTATTCTTCTTTTGAAGGAATTTAACCAACCTAGTATCAAAACGTAAGACTGACACTAAATTGAGGAAATCTACTGAGGTTTATGTCTGCAAGAATTTGTAAGACTTCTGTTGGCGACAATATACTTTAAGTAACAAACGTATATTAATCATGAAAACACTACATTTTAGGTTATTTGACTAATTTTTTGTATTCCTTTATTCTAATTCACAGTCAATCAATACATGAGTGTAATTTTCAAACATTCAGACTATTCTCCACTTGTTGAACCTCATACATTATCCAACGGCTTGGTTTTGAATTTGCGTGAAGTTCTCAATCGATCTACCAGGCTAAAGCGTAATACTGCTCCAGAAGTGACAGCTGCTGCGTTGCTTGGTCTTAAAATTGCGAATTTTCTATGCGAATGTTCAGAGTATGTACATGCATGCAAAGCAGCTCGGAGTGTTCATGAAACTGTACGTTCATTTTTCAACCTGTCAAAGTTTCGTCATGCTCAGCTGCGTTTGGAGTATGAAGCTATGTGCATGCAAGTGAAATAACGTGTAATCTTCATTTTTAGCTTCGGTTTATAGTCTAGATAAATAATGTCTAGTGTTTCATTTTTACCTAGACAAGTTTCTAAAGTTTAGACAAGAGTTTTGTTGCTTAACACCCGGTGTTGGCAACAACTCTGTCACTGTCGCATAAACACATATTTGTAAATATCTCTTCATGTGTACTTTGAAATAATCCCATCTTCTGTGTCTAAATGTTGCTGTATAAGACCATTGGTCGTACTTTTTCATTCCTTCGTCTTTCATTTCATTACGTAGTGCCTTGATGTGAGATTTAGCAACTGGGGATCCTTACTTAATAATACCAGGTCCTGTACCGGATACTGACTAACTGAATTTATGTTCTACAGATTGTCCAACACGCATGGTGTTGAATTGTATCAGATTACTCTGGAATATTGTCGGGTATAACTTATCTGATGCCCTCCTTTTATTTTGTTTCGGTTGCTCGGTTACTTCTGATTTGAGTCCTGTCTTAACACAGATAGCCTTTCTAATTCCAATCATCACTCCATCACTCAATAAATCTTTGAAACTACGTCTGTCTTGGATAGCCTCACCAACAGTTTCCGTTCTTACGTAATATATATATATATATATATATATATATATATATATAGTGTTCTCTTATTTTGATATAGTTATCTAGGTAAATGCTTCATTGGATCTACAGAGGTGTCTAGACCATTTTTCTGCATACAATAACCATATTGCAATATGAGACTACATAAAGTTGTTCATATACATAAGCCTAACAAATTTATGCTCTATTTGTGTCTTCTACTTAAACTACCGTAATCGTTTATGATAGGTAAATCTCCGTTTCCATTACTCAGTGCAGCCAGTTGAAGATTAGTAAGAGTCTTCTGGACAGTTTAGAAGTGTTTGTGGTGCTTTTCTCACCTCAAATGCTAGTTTCCATTAGTGTGTTTCACTGTTTGTATTGAAAGGACTCTATTAACTTGATTGCTGCTACCGGTTAGGTTAGGGGTCGTTAATAATAGTTAGTTATTAATTTACTCAATATTTTTGCATTTCCCAGACTCTTGATCCCGTAATAATAAGAACTATTTACTGGGTGCAATGCAATATAAATGGTACACCAACACAGAAGTAAATGAATGCCTAGTTAGAGGTTAGGAAAATGTTACACACACATGTTTTAACTGGAAAGTATAGTTTTTTCGTTTTACCTTTCGGATAACCCTTAGGTTTTTCCGTTTTTCTAGTCACTCGTAAGAATAGCCTGGAATAATAGTTAGAGAAACCCATTTGAATAAATTCAGAAAACCTTGAAAGCCTTTTTCATGTTCAACGTACATCCTAATACTTGTACTAAGGAACACAGCTTACAAATGTTAATAAATATGCTATTTACTATCAGCTGGGTCCTCTCGAATGTTGTCGTTTGTTATTGCAAAAAGCATCAAAGCTAAAGAAGAATTACTAGACTAGATTTTTATTTGAGTGCTGTTATGTCTGGTTGGATTAGTTGATGAGAGACTTCGATTGCAGTTTTATGCTTTTTATTTGCTTAGTGTTGATGTACTCAGTGAATAAAGATATCCGGAGTCTCTTCAAGTACTGTGTCACTAAAAGATCTTTCACATGTACACTCAGACGCTGACTCTTTTAGAGGATGTAAATGATATTTTCATCAGTTACCTTTTTGGAACGCAAAGGAAATTGCCGAAGGTGTAGTACTTTCTATGTGAAATCTGTTACCGTTATTTTACTCAATCACTATGCCACCTAATTAAACGAATGAAGGTTCTTTCTCTTTTTCCGAAGTTTGAACTATAGAATGAACTAGAATGGAAAGCTTTTGAGTTTCATAATTTTCATTTGATAGTGAGAGAGACTTCAGAAGTCCTGGAAAGTAACTGTCGACGTTTTGAGCATAAATAATTATTGTTTCAAATGATCTAAATAATTTTACTGACTTCGCTTAAAAGTTAATTCGTCGTGATATGTTGCAAGTTAGCACAGAACTCTTTGTTTCAAGCCCAAGTAGGTTAACCGCAAACATCACTTATACCAGGCGATTAGAGGGTTATTGATGCACATTTCGTTAGATGAGCAATCATGGAATAAGCTACAAAATATCTTTTAATAAATAAGCTTAGCTTTACACTTAGAGCATACATAACGTGAAATATCCTATAGTTGATGTCCATTTATTCAAAAACGGTATGCAATGGTTTTACTCAGTAAACAAGCATTTAACTTTATCTCCTCCCTTTTTATTCTATGGTTGGATTGTAGTATGCTTAGGGCCATGAATGCGTATAATATGTATTTGGACCCGGAAGACCAACAAGTTTTTCAAAAAGAAGCACCCAATTTACTAAAGTTCATGTGGCAGTCAAATTTATTAATGACTAAATCTAGTGATATAAGCAACTTCGACTATGCATTATTACCCATGGGTTTGGAAACTGCATCTCAAGATACGTTTGTTACTTCTTTATTATCATCTCGGTCATCGGATGAAATTTCTGAGAGCACTTCATCTACGTCTCTAAGTATTGTTGGTCCTGCTGGCGATGAATCTCCTTGTGTGTTAGAAACCCTTACAACCCAACTGACAACCTCAATATCAGAAGTATGTTGAGTTATTGTTTGCATACTATTTATCCTAATCAGTGACATGGCTTTTATTATTTCAAACCGTAGTGATGTACTATGAAGATTGAAATATTTTTAAGTTATAATAATACCTGCTGTTTATCCTCGTTCTTTCTTATCTTCGAAGCATAACTTGATAAGTCATATGAATATACGATGAGTTTCGTCGTATCCGTTGAAATAAAGTTGTATGAGTTATCTACATACTTATCTGTTTGAAGACATTTGTTTGTTACTGTCACAACTTTTTAATTACTTCAAATTGTTACTGGATTATCTTCTAAATTTCATAGGTGTTAGCAGCAGTGTTATTCAAAAGGCTGTAGATCCTTAATTAACAAGATTTTACGAAGTGGTTCACATTTTACTTGAATTTGATGCCAAGTAGAATTACCTTGAAAGCCTACGTCTTTGTAACATTGTTACACTCCCTTCACCTGAATTAAAACAATCCTAATAACTTTATTACCTTTACTTTATGTAATTGCAAGGCATTATTTTTCCAACTACAATCTTCATAATATTGAAATAAAATCTCGTTAAGAGTGTAACGTAAATGATATTAGTTCTAAAATTGTCAGGAAGGAAGAGGAATAGAGGTTCTGTCGAATTCAAAAAGAACTTTTAGGATATTTTCTCTTCGGTGAATTCGCGAGTCAAGTTTTAAAGCGAAGTTGAATTGTGTGCGATTAGTCATAGCATTCTATTTTAAGCTACTGGGCCACACATTCAAACACGACCCTAGCTGTGTTTTAGTAGGGGGTGTAGTGTTGTTATTGTATTCACAATAAATGCAGTAGGTTATCTAGTACTTAAACCTGTACCCATTTTGATGCTAATGAGCATGATTGTGTTGCATCATATATTGTGCTGGGGTGTCGTATGAATTCAAAATATTTATCCCGTGTTTCTTATTTGCTCAAAACTTACCTAGAGATACTTTAAAATTTAGGTGGTTCACAATCTTTGAATTTCAAAAATGGTGGTATGGAGTAACAATATTTCTTGCTTATTCTGATTACAATTTAGGTCTCGCCCTAGGCAAATTATTCATGTTTTTCTACCAACTTCAGTCTACATGTTTCTTTCAAAATATTTAGTTGTAGTTTCGCTTACACTTATTCTCAATATCGAATAATTTTTTTTCATTTTTTTCCATTTAGTTCTACTTCCCAACTATTTACTCCACCTCCGAAGTTGTCCTCAGTCTTTTGGATAATATCCCTGAGACGTGTGTATCCACTAGTGCTTATTTGAATGCACAACTTGCGACTTATCATTTTTCAATGTGTCATTATCAAATCGCTTTCCAGTTTACTCTCTTGGCTATTGAACAGTTAGAGATTTGTTTCAATCAAGGGACACCACCATCCCCCTATGTAACAGTTGAAGTCTTACGTATTATGTACAAAGTATGTACCATTAAAAGGAAATATGATTTAGGATTACGAATTATTCAACATGCGTTAGCATATACCAGGTATGCCGTATTTTCGAATGCATTCAAAGTCAACGTGTCATTATAATTTATTAAAATTGTATGTTTATCATATGTATATTTAATTCTGATGATGCTGGTCTCAAATAGATTATCGAGTATACTAAATACTCGTGGTTCTGAGTCGCTATTGTTATTTGTTTCCTATGCAGTCGTTCTTCACGCATAGGGATATTAATTATTGATTTTCATGTTTATACTTAACTTTCTGAATATGCAGTTTGTATAGTTTTGCAATGCTCATTAAGTATGATCACTAGCTGTTGTACAAACTAATCAAGATTCAAATAATACATGTTGGGACATAACTGTACTGGCTTCAAAACCGACGATTGAATTCTTTGTATACAGTAAGATTTTATGTTATGGCTGCATTATAGGCCTAACTGTACTCTCCGTATACCTTGATATTCGAGTATTAAAAAGCTAAAGAATAAAATGAGCAGTACGAGTTGATAGTTGTTGATTGACGTATTTTCAATGCTACTATAGTGGTAGCATAACATACTCACCCAAGACGAGTATCCTTCTTACATGTTTTCGAGTCCGTTGAGTAGTTATGAGCCTGACTCTTGATCAATAGTGTCCGATGGGTTTACTTCAGTTATTTCAAAGAGTAGTACTGGGTGATCGTGCATAATTAACTTCGTAGGCAATATATTAGGATAAACTATCATGGTGTAGTATGGAAGTCTGTGTCTTGACAACAATTCTAAATCATGCATAGGATATGCTGGTCAGATTTTAATTTTTAATCAACAACTAAGATATGAATGAATAATGCTTTATAAATGATACTTAGCTTTACCTATGTGTAAACAAATTGCTACTACTCGTATATTCGAAGTATTTTGTGAACGCTTAAATTTGACAGTTAAATAATTCTTTTAAATCTTATTTAGTTAATCACTTGTCATCTGTTCAGTAGTTTCATGTTGCGTTTATCATGGTGTGTATTGTTAGTCATATGTTTTCTCTCTGTTTTTACGTCACTTCTTGACAGATTTAACTTCAACTATTTCTCAGAGGTCATTTTTTAAAAATGATCTAAAAATGTAAAGTGTATGGCCTAAATAATCTTGCTAGATATATTCAATGCGAAACTATGATAATTGGGCCTGAAAATCATGCAGTATTTTGTATGAAAGTTTGATTTACCAATTTCCAAGTAATACTATGGGGATATTCTTTGTTCACGCCTAAAAGACAGATCTTATCGGCATAAAAGAGTTACGCATCTTACTTCACGAAATAAATAAGTTTAAAAAAAAGCAGTTACTGTGAGCACATAGTTTGCGCACCTAAATTCATGATCTAAATACTTTTTAAGTCAAAACTTGAGTGGATATGAGTTGTATAATCGTATAGAGCGTTCGATCTGAATGTTATTACTGCTTACATTTTGGGTTCAAGGCTTCGACTGATGCGACAATTTCTCATTGCACTCGCATATTAAAATGGATTATTTCAAGACCGCAATAGTACCTTGGCAAGGATAATAAAGCAGCTAGTTATTTCAGTAGGTCGCCCGGGACTATTTTCCCTTGATCGTAGTCTTAAAGGCAACAGATCTCCGTCAGTACTTGGACTTAAATATTTTCTGATGTCTGAAGCAGCTGTATACCTCCCACTTTTCTTCCAGATTATAGAACTCACCTGGTTTCCAATCAAAATCTTCTTTTGGATAATATCATTCGTAACTGAGGTTTGTGTAAACACTCAGTTAAGTTGAAAAAACTGACTACGACTTTTATTCGCTGTCATGATGTGCTGTGATACTCAGGTTGCGTTGTTTCGTGTTTTGAATTTTATATATATATATATATATATATATATATATATATATATATATATGACTTGTTTATTTGATTCATAATTCAGTGTTTGAAGCGTAAATTATTGCTCATAATCATATCAATGTAATCACACTACTTTCGACGTGTGATTTTTATAGTCATGTCACCTCATATGAGTTGTTTTTATTGATAGTAAAATTTTCCATATCTCTGGTATAGGTATTGAGTCATTTCTATTACGTGTGTTACGTGTTGATCCGATGAACAAAGATTCAGTAATCAATTTCTCTCTTTACCTAATTATATTGGACTAAAGTACAGTGGTTTTATTCTACCCTGTTGTGTGCTTGTGTGTTAATGCATGCATTGCAGTAGCCGAGTTTTTTTGTAGATTACTGATGTTGTTTGGGTCTGGCATTCTATATTTAGCTAATTTCCTATGTTCGGCTTATTTAACTAATCCCGACCAGCTAGTCTGACGTATGTACTTGACCTCGCAGTCATTAATGGAATTTGATAGATTAGATTATTTTGCATAATTGGTTCTATCGGACCTTTAAGCCAGCCGACAAACCTTATCTCTGAATGAGTTTGTCGTCACAGTAACACTTCTTCTGCTTATTATGGATTGGGATGATCAGTGAAGTACACCAGACTCAAGGCACTACCTTTGATTCCTCTCGATGATCAGAGTACTATTTCAAAACCAATCATATTTTCAACCAACGACATATCATGGAACACAGGCCATACCTACCGGCGACCAACACTCCTGACCTGAAGGCGATATTTGACTCTTTCGACCGTGAGGTGTTGTGGCAGTGTCTGACTGTGAAGAGAGTACAGAGCACGCATATAACGCTAGTCAAAGCTCTCCACTGAAACTCACGCAGCCGTGTAAGTGGCTGGCTCATGGAGAGTTGTCATCTGAATTTGCGACAACTAGCGATGTTCTCTCGCCTGGTTAACTAGTTCACTAGTTACTAGCCGGTCCTAAGCCCGGGCAAAGAGGGAAGGTTGGGCATAGGGCTAGCAACCCTACCCCGTAAAACAAATCTAACCGCTAAAGAAACTTCAAAGCACAAACGAAATATGAAAAATAAAAACAAAATTATTCCTCGCTGGAATCGGAGAGGCGAAATGACGCCAGTTGGTGAAAGCCTTCGGGAAGCCGATTGGCCGATGTGTCTTCTCTCGATGAAAGCGAAAGTAAACGTGGGGACATGAAATGTCCGTACGATGTTTGAACCCAGTAAGGCAGCCCAGATTGCAAAGGAGATGAGAAGGTATCACATTGTAGTGCTTGGGATTTGCGAAAGCAGATGGAATGGGATGGGAGTGGACTCTCCAAACTGTCAACTGGAGAATCAATAATCTACTCCGACATTGTCACCCAGATGACAATCACGAGCACACTGAGTTTTTGAGTGGCTATCATGATGTTCTCAAGAGCATCGAAGGCTCTCATGCAGTGGGAACCAATCTCCTCCAGGATCATGACAGCAAGATTCAACTCAAAAGGAAGGAAGGTCACAATCATACAGTGCTACGCACCTACAAATAATGCAGATGAAGAGAAGAAGGAGGAATTCTACAGACAACTGCAATCAACACTGGACAAGAGGCCAGTTGGCGATATCAAAATCCATTCTAATGGGCAACATGAATGCCAAACTGGGAGGGACAACACAGGAAGAGAACTAACCATGGGTCGAGAAGTACTCGGTGAGGTGATGAACGAGAATGGAGAATTGTTTGCAGAATTCTGTGCATTCAACGATTTGGTGATTGGAGGCCAGGCAGTGTGTTCAAGCACAAGGATATCCACAAAGCGACATGAAGTTGATTTCACCAGATGGACACACTACACTGAAAATCAAATCGACTTTATCTCAATCTCAAGAGAATGGAGACGCAGTCTACTTGACACAAGGTCAAGAAGAGGAGCAGATGTAGGTTCAGACCACTCACATCTGGTGCAAGGAACCTTCCAAACCAAGTTGAAAGCCTTCAAGGAAGCTGGTGATAGACCGAAGTTCAAGTACAACACTCGGAAACTGAAGGATGAAACTACAAAGGAGATCTTCTCGGCAGCCATCAAGACAAAATAGGAGATATCGAGGAGCATCCCTGAAGAAACCTGTGTGGAAGAACACTGGAAGTCTTTGAAAGCTATGTGGAGAGAAACCTACAGAACAGTATTAGGAAGGAAGAAGAAAGAAGACAAGGAATGGATCTCGATGGATACATGGAAGGTGATAGAGCAGGGAGAGGAGGATGGTGATGGTGAAGTAGAAGATAAACCAGTGCAAGGATGCTCAACGACAAGAGGAACTGAGTACTATGTATAAAACACTGGAGAAAGAAGTGAAGAAGAGTGCACGCAAAGACAAAAGACACTTCTACGAAACACTGGCAAGTGAAGCAGAACAGGCTGCAGGTAGGAGAGACCTGACGACATTGTATCAAATAACCAGGTTGCTATCTGGGAGGGAAGAAATCAACGCAGACGAAGCCAATAAAAGATGATGACGGAAATCTAATTACGAAAGAAGAGAAACAGAGGAAACAATGGGCCGACCACTTCAAGAAGCTCTTGAATCGACCATCACCTGCACTTCGTCCAGAAATACCACCTGCAGCCGCCGAACTCCAAGTGAACATAAATCCTCCAACAAAAATGGAAGTCCTGAACGCCATAAAGATACTGAAATGAGGGAAAGCAGCAGAACCAGATGGAATCCCGCCAGAAGCACTGAGAACAGACGCAGAAACAACAGCAGACATGCTCACACCACTATTGCAGAAGGTGTGGAAGGAAGAGAAGGTACCTGACGATTGGAAGAAGGGTTACCTTGTCAAACTGCGGAAGAAGGGAGACCTCAGTGTTTGCAAGAACTGGGGCGGAATCACTCTCCTGTCCACCCAGAGCAAGCAAAATATTAAGCCGCATCATCCTGGAGAGGCTTAAGATGCACTGGACTCAAAACTACGACCGGAACAGGCAGGCTTCAGGAAGTACCAATCATGTGCAGACCGAATTGCAACGCTTCGCATCGTCATAGAACAGAGCATAGAATGGCAATCAACTCTCTACCTCAAGTTTATCGACTTTGAGAAGGCCTTTGACAGCGTCGACCGAGAAGTAATTTGGAAACTGCTTCAATACTACGGAGTACCGCAAAC